GAGCAAGGACGCTACTAGGAGCAAAATGACCCCATATAGGGCCTCAAGGCCGTGCATTTTGGAGGGGTTATTCCCACAGGGATGCCATAGCTGCTTCATGCTGCTTCTCTATCTTCTCTATATTCTGTTTGTTGGGGGCAATGTATAATATAGCCATGCGGACCTATTCGGGTTCAGGGCACTTCTGCTGAACTGCAACTAAATCGACTTGATGGAACATGGTCTCTCCAACACAGGACCACTTGAATGAGTGTCACGGGGTCAGCCTTTGGACTTCAGTGACTCGTGCATTCGCTGAGGGCATCTATTCCACAAGCTCATGTCCCTTGCAACAATGATTGTGAATTCCCTTCTTGTTAGTGCATCATGATGCTTCCATTTCTGGATCCAAGCATGGACCCTCCACGCAGCACACCTTGACTGCGTACTCATTGCCAGTACCAAGGCGTTTGCAACGAAAAACACGTCCTGGCAGAAGCACATCTGGGTCATAGAATCTCTGAAAAGCTAACGTCCGGAACACAAAGCTGCGCCAGGAACGCCAGCTACCTAGAACCACATTGGTAATGTCACATGCACATCCGGGGCCATGCTTCTATGTCGTTCAACTATTTTGCTTCAATCCAATCGGGGGCTCTGTTCATCCGGGCCCCAGAAGCTCAATTCGGTGCTTTGTGCCCAGTCGACTTGACTTCAGGCATCACTGGGAGCCAAGGAACAAACTGTCTTCACTCCCACCTTGAGATCCACCACCTAACTCGTCGCCCAACTCGAAGTTGTCATCTTTCATTCCAAACCTCTCAGGGAGAAATGACAGAGAACCGTGCTCCGTTCGTAGCGTCCTTGCTCCTAGTAGCGATGCCCTTTGCTCCTAGTAGCTTCCTGTTACCGGCTCGGCATTCTCGGTTCCTCGTTTCACTTCTTTGCTCCGTCCGCGACAGGGCGGGCCCTAAACTCATCTGATGCCCTGGGAGGCTTCCTTCCATGAGGAGCTCACCGACCTCACCTCAACTAAAAGCAGTGGTCTGGGCACACTTGAAGCCCATCCAGACACATCTCGACAGCGTCTGAGATGCGAGTCGAACTTCTGCTCTCGGCAGAACCCGAACAGCGGGCCATTCACCATGGGCTGCGTCCAAACCAAGGCCGAACCGAACGGACTTGAACCAAAACGCAAAGCAAAGGACGCTCTCGGCCTGGTTCCACTCGGAGGAAACGCGCTCTTCGGAGGAACCATGGCTCCACTGCAAGGTAGACATACGACGGGGGCGCTGAAAATGCCAAGTCACTGTGGTTCAGCTTCGGCAAAGCGACTTTTGAGAGATCGTCTAATATTTGTTGTTCCTGAGAGTTCCGTTCGTAGCCTCCGATCGCTCCGTTCGTAGCGATGCCCTTTGCTCCGTTCGTAGCGAACCTTGTTCCTAGTAGTAAGGCCAGGAGCCCCTAGTAGCGTCCGATCGCTCCTAGTAGCATGTGGACTGGACCCGGGGAGGTGCACTTGCTTTCCTCAGCTGTTCCTAGTGATGCGATATGATGTGATGATGTATACAATGAAAGCTGAACGAATTCAGGAGGCCGGGTGCAGGTGTACGACAATTCTTCTTCTTTGATGAATCAAGGGGATGTACGTGTTCACGGTTTCTCATTTCAAGTACGTCCAAGACAAGTATGGAGAGACGCTTGAAATGACAATACGGACACGCAGTGAAACCATATATAATTACAGACATTTACAGACACTAACAAAGTCACGCGTAACTCAACCGGGTAAAATAACTTCTTTGTGTTCGTTTCCGAAGCAGCTTTTCTGTGCCTGCCTGACATTGCCCCGGGCTTGGGCCTTAAATTGCTTCGGAGCAAAAAACTTTGTCGTTACGGTCCCATGTGTTGCTAGAGAGGAGCACAATGAACAACAAAAGCTGGAAAGTTATACCCTCATAGACATAATCATCCACAAGTTACTTCTGAGTTTGTGTTGCAGTTGCTAGCACCTTGTAAGTTTGAGTTCTACTGATGGTCTTTGGATTGGCCACCGTCTGTACTCAAATGTTGAGACTCTGTTAGTCTTCGTAACATACCAGCCATTTGAGTCCTTGTATCTAGCTTCTCTTAACATAGACCAAAATGGGCCATCGCTAGTAGGTTGGAGGCCATTGCTAGTAGTGTGGAGGCCATCGCTAGTGGTGTGGAGGCCATCGCTCTAAGGAAAGATTTCTATTATACACTCTTGAAGCCACCTCGAACCCTATAGGGATGATCTCGGAAATATCGCACGTCCGGAGGCTGCGAGGCTGGAATCTTCACTGTCCATCCCTTTTGCTCTCTCATGCTTCTTCTACTGCTCCTTCCACTTCTCCCTTCCGAGCCTGGCAATGTCACCGCATGCTGAGGTTGGAGTGAGAGAGGTGAGAGGGAGTTTCTGAGTGAGGCTTTGGTTGGTTTACCTCCTCCTTCATCTACCGGAGACAAACACTGCAGCCAAACGACAAAATTATAGCTGAATGACACCCTTGCACACAGCGGCGAGGAAAGTGAACAATCAGGGTAGCTTTGCCGAAGAGCCAACCGCTTGAAGAAGCGCTGACAGCCGTGGCTTAACGAGCAGCAATTTATTTCGAATGTCTGAGTGGGATACAGTGAATGGGAATCTGCAAATTATACAGAGTCCACTATCGATTTTTGGCTCCATTTCTTGGGATGGATTTCTTGGTCGGTAGGATCACGTAGAGTGCCCCAAAGATGCTATCAAATCGTGCAACCCAAATCAACCCAACATCAGCAGCGGATGATGGGATGACAGGTCAACCTTGGCAGCAGCGGCCCAAAAGGAAGTATTGCACACGGCAGCAGTTCCCTGTAACAGTTTTTCTCCTCAGGCTGCAAGAGGCATCCAGCAAGGGGTGATACATTCAGGCCAGCCTGAGAAAGCTTTAACGAAGTGAATTCGTCTGTGAATTGCCTTTGGCATAGTCTGAGCCTCACTCCGGCTCGTTTCAACCGTTCAACTTTCCCAATGAGGCCAAACGGCCCCTGGTATTTTACTAGTACCATGTAATGTTCCACAGTCGAACACGTTTGTTCCACGGTCAAAGGTGGGTGCTTTCTGGGCTTGGGTGTTTTCCGGCCAAATCGGACAGCATGGATCCGACCTGGCGTCGGTTGGATCTTAGACCTGTCCATCCTTATGCCCCTGTCAGCTCTTGCGCTTTCTCAGGCAGCCTTGAAAAAACACACTGCCAGGCTGCACAATTCTGAAGGCCGATGAAGAATGAAGCCAACCATGATCGGTGAAACAAGCAAGAGGGGGCATGTGAAGTGTTGGATTCCAGAGTCTCATGCCAAAGGATAATCTTTCTTGAAACCCAAATAATTCAATCGCTGAGGTGCTGACATGACTGTTGGTTGTCTTAATACCATGCAGGTCTGTTCTTCTATATTTTACATTGTGATCCGTGTGCATGGGGATGACTATATAAATCCATGCATGCGCTTGAGAGCGCAGCAAGCCCCCAAGCAACTGCTTGAATGGTCCATCTGTAGTTCAGGGCAGTTGAAGAGCTCAAACCTCATCAAAACTATATACATCATGAAAACATCATGTACCTCTTTATACTTGAGGTCGAGGGCGTTGTTCCAATTTCGAGAATATTCTAGCTATCAAGTCCAGCTATCCTCATGATCCCCGCAAGAACAGCACGTGCTACCTTCCATCAATCCCACATACCAATCCCTTCATGTCTTCGGATCACCTCTCCGCTCCACCGGAGCGAGAAACCGGACTTCAGATCGCGGTCGCCCGGGACATCGGTGCCTACAAGAGCCATGTGACGTCCGGTGTCTCCAAAAACCGTGGACTTCATGGAAAAGAAGGTGAAAAGAACTGACACCAACCGCCTTCAGCAGATGTTGTTTGCCATGTCAGAAAATGAATGTGCGCGTCTTTGTCAGGTTGGCCTCTCAGAAAATGCGACACTCTTACTCTTCCTGTCTCGCACAAGGACAATGTAGGTGCAAGAGACGTCCACCGAAAAAAGTGTTGCCTCGGTCGGAATCACACTATAAACCCGATCGAATGCAGAGATTCAAGGCAGGACCGCAAACCTGACACAAGGCCCTCCGCACCGCCTGTTTGCCGCAAATACGTGGAAGCCGTCCAGTTGTCAAAAGTCTGAATATGTGGACTCACGACGATGTTTAAAAAACTTCCCCACGGCTTGGAGTTCCAATTTGGACATGTGGGCGGCGAATGAGGATTGCAGATTTGGGATGTAAAATAATTTGTAGCATGAGTTTGGAGGCCATCGCTACTAAGTTGGAGGCCATCGCTCTTAGGTTGAAGGCCATCGCCATTAGTAACTCAAAAGAATATTCGTTCTATTTGATTTATGTCCCAAGGCCGATGAACTGGAAGGCTTCAGGCGTTCAAACAAACGCCGACGCAGCGACCTCGCTCGGTTTCAGCGACTTCACTGCGTGTTGAGTTGCTGTTCTCCTGGCGGTCTGTGGCGGTCTGTGGTCTGAAGAGAAGCAAACGTCTCCTTTTGGTGGTCTGAAATGCTCTGAAACCGTGTCATAATGTGTCATACGGCATACGTTCATCCAGGGTCATCCAGGGACATGATCCAAGTGGAGCTCACGCGAAGCGATGTGGAGCTCTGCAGAGCAGAAGTTCCCCAAAACCTGAAAGCATTCCTAGCTGATTATCCTCGATTCAAGCGTTCTCCCTGCAAGATGCCCAGGTCCAAAACGTATCCAAAACGTATGTGATGAGTTGATCTTGACTCTTTTAAACATCTTTACGCACGACTCCTGGCTGATTCTTCGGAGCTTCGGACGATTTTGGGGTCAAATGCCCTGCCCACCGGGAAGTTTGTTTGTTGATTGTTCTGTTTCTCATTGCCATCGATGGTATGCGGGATCTTCATGGATCTTCTAATTTCGAGCCTTACACCAGGATGCTCCCATCCCATCACAATCACTCCACGGCCAATCCACAGCCTCTATCGACGCGCTTTCAAAACAGGTGGCCGAGGTCTGAGCGGAACGGTGAGGGAGGAGCCTCTAGTAGCGTCCTTGCTCCGTTCGTAGCGATGCTAGGAGCCCCGAACGTAGCTTCTTGTTACTAGTAGCTACTTGCTCCTAGTAGTAAGGCCAGGAGCCCCGAACGTAGCGTCCTTGCTCTTAGTAGCGATGCCAGGAGCCCCGAACGTAGCATCCTGGTGGGCCTTCTGAACTGACCAAGCCAATCACTTCAACTTGCTTAACATCTCACAGCTTGCTTCGTCCCGGAAGCAGGCAGTGCCTGTGATTCAACAACCAGTTCTGCATGGTGCAAAGCATCAAGCATGTCTGAGCTGGGTTGCTCTATCCAAAAGTTGCCGAAGTCCATTGGATCAGTCATATCGCATCAATCAACTGGTGAGGATAAGCTTTTGCCTTGGACTGGTTGTACAATGGACATTTTGACTGCCTTTCTCGCTTAAAGTCAACATTCACATCCCAAGTATATCTACGACATCTCTTCACAGAACAGTATCTCATGCAATTGGACACGTTTAGATTCATTTCCTACTCAAATCTTGGTGAGAAATCAGTGGCTCATCTGGACCACGTGCGTGTTGAGCACCCGCCGGCACACCGGTGGAGTCTGAGGATCCCAGGCCCCTCCGCCCAGGGACGACTCGGCAAAACCTGCCTGGGGATCCACCGAGTCAGTCTGAGTCTTCCAGTGGAGGATAGAAACAAGAAAGGAAAAGACAAAAAGGATGGATCATATACAGAACAAATTATAATGGTATATATGGTAGTTTTGGGATTCCAACCGACTTTCATTGGTCTTCTGAATCTGTTTGGTCCAATCTCAAAGAAAGGATGGTCGATGCTTGGTACTTGGTTTTGTGAGCGATGGACTGGGTTGCGAGTCAGGCGTGGTCCTTGACCTACAATGATGCTACACGTGGGTAGGTAGAACAGTATTCATTTAGCCCTCTGAGATCCAGATCTAGTACGGCATGTTAGTGTAGTCTGGGGCCCTTCAGCTTCGACAAACTTCGCATACAAGATGTGATGGATTCCTTCGAATGTGATGATGGCTAACTGGATGATGGCTTTGAGAAAACTTCTCTATATAACCCATCGCACCTCTCACAAACATTGATCAGCTGGAAGGAAACACATTTAGTTCTCATGAAACCAAGGTGATTACAGCGCATTCTTCAGAAGTTGCTACTGTCCTTTTCGCTGGCAGGCTATGGATACAAGGGGAACTGAAGGACGGGCGAGGATGATTTCTGAGTGGCTTCTCTGCCATCCTAGTATATCCTAGTTCATGATGACAAAAAACATCAGACATGTTTGTATTATGTTGCATCATGTTGCATCAATTCGCACGGATTTCCTTTTTTGGCCAACTTCATAACATCACCCATCAGGCCTTGAGGGAGATGGATCGATACGACCGCCACCGTCCATGCCTCAGTGGATCAGAATGGGTGAACGTTTCTCTTCAAAAGAAAAACGATGTGAAGACTTCAGTTTTTCTCTCTGTTTTTCTTTTCTGTCTTTTCTCAGAAGAAGCTTTCGTTTTCTCCCTCATGTCTGTCATTTCGAAGTGTTTCGACCATTTCGAAAGGCTCTGAGGTGTCTCAATCGCTGAGGTGTTTCGACTCATTTCGCTGAGGATCGCACAAATGGCACCAGCGCCTTTCAGTGCCTTGGTCAGGGATCACAAATCATCACAAATCAAACCTGGGTGCTTTAGGCTAAGGTACCATCACTGATATCACCATGGACGGAAATCCAAACCCGAATGCACTGAAAGGGGTGCAAGGGACATGGAATCGTGAATTCCCTTGGGATACCCTCTTTGCCCAGACCGCTTGGGGCTGTGGAACTGCAGCAGGTAGGTCAGTCAGTCGAACATAAGAAGCATGGTCCCATGAAGCGCGTCTCTGGGTTCTCCACTGGATTTTGTTGCCACCGGGACGACAGGCCTCGAGAAACATTCGAACCAACTATCATGTTACTACTAGCGTGGCGCTTGTTACTACTAGATAGTACCATTTGTCAGCGATTCTTCTGGAGTCGTGGCTGATACACACCCCATCAAAGGCGTACGGCGTACTACTAGTCGTAACAAAAGGCAAGACAAGCCTGTATGAACATGGACTGTTACAGTGACAAGTAAGCAAGGGAAAATGTCAACATGGACTATATTAGATGCTACTTCCTTTGGTGTTGAGAGACTAAAGGGTCGTGGCAGGAGCCGTGTTCGCATCTGACTTGCTGGGAGTTGTCGACAGTCTTGTGCCTCCAAGACCGAATGGCAACCGCCCACATCGCCTCCATCGCCATCTTCACTCTCTGTTCGTTCTCTTCTCACCTGACCAATGCTGAAGGATCCAAAGGAACGCCAGATTCTCAATAGACAAGTTGGGCTCAAGGCCAGAAAACCAATCGAACGAACGATCCTCTTGGGAACAATGAGGAAGCTCATTGACAGCTCTGCAAAAAAAAATGCCAGACAGATTGCTTGGCATCCTTGCTTTCACAAAAGCTAGTACCCCTGTAAGCCTTCATAGCAACGATTTGGAAAAGATTCATCTGACATGTGAGTGCTGCACAAATCACAAGGCGGAAGTGTTTTGCCTGACTATCATAGAGGGAACAAACAGGCTCAACCACTACTGGGACTCCTCCGCAAAACCGGCCTCTCGCGATTCACTTTGGATGCTGGGGGACTTCTTCATCTGACGACGGCAAAGCATAGCAGGTTCATCTGCTTCCGACAACCATTGATGAGACTGTCCGGCTGACCCTTTTAAAGCAAAAAAGTGTAACAAGAAGCTACTAGGGGCTCCTGGCATCGCTACTAGGAGCAAGGACGCTACTAGGGGCTCCTGGCCATACTACTTCTCAAAAGGACGGCGGCATTTGACAGAAATTCTTGGAACCAATAAGATCAAACTCCAACTCGCTGGTCGCTGATCGCGTTCAAAAGGGTACTTCTTTCAAAAACGCCCATCGACGATCCCGAACAGCAACTCATGAGAAGCCGAGGCGTCTGGCCTCTGAACCTGGAGGTGCAGGGGGCGGCACCTGGCAGCGAAAAAACAGGTGCAGCTCCCATCACTGCCAGTCTCTATTGAAGTACCACCTTGAAGAATCAAAGGGTTCTTCTGGGGATCATGGCCAGGAAGCCTCCAACCTAGAAGCAATGGCCTCCAACCTTGAAGCAATGTCCAAACAACCAGTGACCAGGTGTTTGGGATTATGGCCTTTTCTGCACGAACTCTGAGTCCTGCTTTGGGGGAATGCGGTGTCGGACTCCATGTCCGAAAACTGATCATGTTAGAGAACGAACACTCGGCACAATTCGGCACATCCCAGGACAAGCCTCAACTAGAACCAACTTGAGGAAATGGGCCAAACTTGCTGCTCTCAAGAGAGGTTGTCAAGATCGACACATTGATCACCAAGTGTGGTGTCATTCTTCGACCCTCAGTCTACCCATTCGACCCTCCTTCCCACAAAGCTTCTCTCAGCTCAACTGTGTCGGCCTCAGCGGGCCGGCTCTTGGCTTGCTCCTGGCGCGCAGCAAAGCTTACTCCCCTGACTTGAGTGCTGATAGACTTGGACTTAAGCGTTTACTGAGTATATCCAGTTTTGAACTTAAAATGGCTGAAATTTGCCAAGAGTCGTGCAAGTGGTAAAAGGTGCAACATCCACTACAGAACTAGAAAGAAGATCTCAATGTGAGGTTGACCAGAGGTGGTCAGGATCTTTGTCCCAAAAGGTGCCCTTGACTCACCCTTCCTTCGCTGCCAGGTCCTCGACCCACCAAATCCACCAAAAAGACTGAATCCACCTCGGACCCGCGTCTCCTCTCGCAGCATCTTCCGGATCTCTTGCTGCATCAGCGGTCGCTGCAGAATCTCCTGGAGGATACTTGTAGCGGCTATGCAAAAGAACGCCGTAACCGGCTACCCCTACTATAGGCACCACTTGGAGGAAGCTTTGTTGGCCAGTTCTGAGATCAAACTGAATAAACTCGTCTCAGGAGATGCCAGTTCTGACCTGCCAGTTGTTGCTGATACCACGAACGTATGCACAGGTTGAGACCAGTCCGGGAGCCCTCAATCCTAGTCCGACTGTGGACTTCACTTCATGGGACTGGCAGACCGTCTGACGAACTGACTCGGCTGACCGTCTGACGTGGAACCAAAGTCTGCTCGATATTCCCAAAGACATAACAAAGGTCTCCTGAGCCGAAGGTCTTTGTGTTTGCTCACGATGAAGCAGGTCACCACCTGGCCAAACTCCACGACAATGGTTCCCCAGTAGATGTCGCGTATCGTGCACTATAATTACTCTGTGTGTCTCTCTCTCTCTCTCTCTATTAATTGAACATAACACATTTTATGTTGTTTTGTTGACATTTGAAAAACTGTTTAAAAACACCATGAGCTCTCGCTTGAGCAAAGACAACCTGCACATTGCAGGGTTTGGTGATGAAAACGGACCACTTCCTGGAACTGTTCATCGACAATCGCCGTCGAATCGATCTCCAAGATACCAAGGCCGATCAAGTCGCTTCCCGAAAAAACACCGAAAAGAAAACGACACACATCGAATCTACGGTTAGCATTGCGTCAATTCATGGTCAGCATCTCTTAGCTTTGTTGTTTGCACAAGCCGAAGTGCAAAAAAAACGGATGCGTACCCAGTTGCCGCAGCTCCGGTGAGTAGCTGTTGGGCAGCAGAGGTGTCGGCCCACGCCTGGCAGAGAAAGGTGAAATTCGGAATTGGAATGCATCAAACATACAAATGCTTTAATTAATGCTCAAACAAACATATAATATAACTATGTTGTGTTGTGTCTTGTATGTTTGCATATTTTTGGAAACAACAATGGAAGGCAGGGCACTGGTGGGCAAAATTGTGATTTCTCCCATGCATTGTTAACTGTTTTACGTTTAAAAACATGTTTTAAAGTTTTAACTAAATAAAACATGGTTTTTGTTAAGCTGCGTGTCTTGTATGTTCAATATGTTTGCAATTGTGTGCAGTAAGCAGTGCAAGGCGGGGACGTGAGGGCAAAATCCATGGTCCAACCCCCACAGTAACTCCACCAAAAGCGTGCAGAAGCTCTGCGTTTCACCATTCGTTGGATTCGCTTTGCATCCTGGAAGCCCGGACGTGATCTTCTGGACCAGGGACTGAAGGCTCGTGGCCTCGGTCCCACCCCATCGAACGACTTGCGGTCGACCGAGAAGGCCGTTTTCACAACCTTTGTGGCAATCGCTTAGGCAAATGTTGGACAAAAACAAAATGCAAAAAACAAATAAGAGAACTACCTGAGGCTGTCTGGGAGAAAAGGTCGTCACTGTCTGATCCCGAAAAACAACGAAACAGTCTCACGACATGTCTAGAGTAGCGATGCACTTGTTACTAGTAGCTTCTTGTTACTACTAGTAAGGCACTTGTTACTACTAGCGATGCACTTGTTTCTACTAGCTTCTTGTTACTACTAGTCTCACGACATGTCTAGAGCGACTTGTCAGCCAAGCTCAGTCTCCCGACATCGAACGGTACTCTGAGACACGCAAGTTCGTAGACCACGCAGCCCAAAGCCTACAAGTTCAGACGAAAGAAAGGCATTCAAACAAACTAGTCTGGGAGTGGTTCTGGTGAATCCAAAGATCTGGAAAGGTGAATGTGCAAACGCTTCTGATCATGTGGGATCATGTTGAAAGTTGGTGAACCATGTCAGCTGTACAGCTTTTAGCGCATCCAATTTTGTGGCAAGCATGGAAACTACATGAAACTACCATGTTCAGACAATTGCATATATACTCATGTGAAACTCTTCCACAAAATGGGCAATCACACTGATCGTCACCATTCATCACCCCTTATGTTGGGTCGTCGGCCATGGCACAAGACCGTGCCATAACTCAATGAATCAAACCCTAGTCCTAAAGAAACCTGACTGCGACTTTCAAACCGAGTAAGTAGTTTTGATGGAAAAGCCACAAACATCGCGGAAGAACTAAGCAACAGCAAGAAGCTACTAGTAGCTGCTGGCACTACTACTAGGAACAAATAGCTAGTAGCAAGAAGCTACTAGGTGGAGGCCATCGCTATTATAAAAGGTTGGAGGCCATCGCTACTAGTGACAAGAAGCTACTAGGAACGAAGGGCAACGCTACTAGGAACAAGAAGCTACTAGTAGCTCCTGGCCTTACTACTCGGAACAAGAAGCTACTAGTAGTCTTCCTGGTCATATGCCTGATCTGCCTGTTCTTGCTTGATGAATGGGGACGACATGGATGTCATCTGGTTCACACAACAACCATACCGTATGTAGAAAGAAGAAACAGGATCACAAATTTCAACATGACAAGGAAATATATGAGCCAGCCAGTTCCATCCCTTTATGGAGCAACATGGAGTCATATGACTACAACTCCGAATATATATATAATATCTGTCTGGTTGGGCATGGCTTTCTTGCAACGGGATCATCGTAGCTACGCTACAACCGATGTATCGAGAAGATCACTGAGAGTCCCCAGCCCAAATGTCGCTGCTAAAGGTGTAGGGTTTCTCCATACCTGAGGCCAAGAGGTCACGCTGAGGCTTTCCAGGTGTCTTGTGTTCTTTTTCCGCTGGGGAGGGTCCAGACTAGAGTCGTAAGCTACTCCGTAAGCTGGTAAGCTTGGAAGCTCCATATGCAAGGACACAGGGACCTGCCTCAGGGGTAAACTGGGCATTCACAACTCAGCAGATTTTACAAATAGAGTCATTGTCTCATAGATTTGTGCAAACTTGGGAATCTAATATTCCTCACCGACGTCCATAGCTTGTTGGCATGAAAGAACCTGGTTGAAAGGACCCAAGAAGAAACGAAGAGGTGCCCATTCCTTGGTGCCTCGCTACAGGGACCTCGGGAGAATATGTTCAATGTCCCTGGTTTGTACTTATTCTGCTGGCAAGTGTTTGTTGATGTGTCCTTGTTGATAGCTATATAGATATATCAATCCAATAAAACTGCTCTATAGGTGAGCAAGCATAAGATCGCAGAAGTGAAGTAATCGTAACAAAGAAGCTACTAGGGGCTCCTGGCCTGACTACCAGGAGCCAGAAGCTACTGGGAACAAAGGGCATCGCTACTAGGAGCAAGGACACTAAAAACAACGACATAAAACAACTCATCTGTTCCTCCTTTGAGCCAACCGGCAGATTTCAGGGCTCAGGTAGTAGGGTGTGCCGATCGTCGTCTTGGCGAAGGCACAGGTGCTTTCGAGGACCTGCGGGCTCAAGTGTCGTGTTGCGCATGGGCAAATGGAAACCCCATGCACCTCTCGGGTGTTTAATGAACCCAAAAGACCTTCGCCATTGCCACCCTCAACACAGTCCTCAACACTTTGCTCCTAGTAGCGTCCTTGCTCCTGGTAGCGATGCCAGGAGCCCCTAGTAGCGTCCTTGCTCGTGATATCTTTCACAACTACTAGAAGCTGTGGGAATTAATGCATGCAAGTCTTGGAAGGAGTATTTCAAGCTTGTGGCGATGCACCTGATTCATCCCTCTCCATGTGTGTCGGATCCGATTCTCAAAAGGGACATCTTTATGGAGGTCGAGACTTGACAAACCTATCATGGGTTTGGGCGAGCATTGCCTTTGGGCACGTATTGACAAAATCTTCGCACCCCCTCACTATACTGAGCACCTTGCTTCAGTAGAGCACAACACCTATATTTTACCCAAATCCAGAAAGTTTCTTATATGAAAGAAAGAACGAAAGAAAGGAAAAGGAAAAGGAAGAGAAAACAAAATGACCGAAAGCTCTCAAAACGACAGAATACTGACCTTCCAAGCTCAAAGTCACACGCCTTGGAGATCCCAAAATCTCCGATCCGCAGCCGGTCCTCATCGGGGCTAGGAATGGCTGAAATGGCCGTGCGGAGGAATATGTTGGGCACACTTGACATTCCCAAATCAGGGTGGCATATTTTCATGATCGCTGTTAGCTTGGAGGCCATCGCTACTGGGGTGGAGGCCGTCGCTATTAGGTTGGAGGCCATTACTAGTAGTAACAAAAAGCTACTAGGAACAAGAAATCTCTTCCGAAGCTGTTGCAACTCAAGCCGGTAGCATTGAACCACTCCAACACTTGGAACACCTGACCCGGTAGCGAGGCAGGCTCGCTCCATTTGAAGTCACCAGTCGTTCCAGGAATCCATTCCGACAGAATCCGATTCGGATCGAACTTCAGGAGTCGCTCAAACTTAGTAGCTACTTGCTCCTAGTAGTAAGGCCAGGAGCCCCGTTCGTAGCGTCCGCTCGCTCCGAACGTAGCGATGCCCTTTGCTCCGTTCGTAGTGAACATTGCTACAACCCTTCTTTCCCTCCTCCGGTCCTTGGCGGTCAAAAAGAGGTTCTGGATCTTTAAGTCTCGGTGCAAGACGTGTTTATCATGCAAATACCTCAGTCGCAGCCGCTGTGAACGCTGTGAATGCAGCTGTGAGCATAGCGGTTTGAAGCTCAGTGACGAAGCGAAATGGTGGGCTTCATCTGGGCTCAGGGGGTGAGATCTATCATCTGTCGATCAATATGTCTCAAATGATTTCGCAATCACTATCGCTAGTAGGTTGGAGACCATCGCCTATTCGTAGGTCTCAAAATGTCTCAAATTGTAGTACCATTTGACCTCCTGCCACACCCAAGTCACTCAAAGCTCCAATTCAGCGGCATGGTCTGAAGCGCCTTGGGGCCCGTGCTTGAGAGCCAAGGTCGCCTCGGTCAACCACCTGGCGCACCAAGTGAGAACTTTTGAACTCTGCAAACCGAGGTCCTCTCCGAGGTCCTCTCCAAGGCCTGTCAAAACCAAACCTCCCAAAACCGGACAAACCACGAGAAAAACGAACCAATCCTGTGTGTTTCGCCTGATAATCCGGTCCTCGCTGAAGACCTTCCCGGCTTGGCGGGTGCGCTGGATGCGCTGGTGCAGATCACCCCCATCCGCATAGTCCATCACCTTGATCGACTCTCAGCTCTCCATCGCTACTAGGAGCAAGGACGCTACTAGGGGCTCCTGGCATTACTGCTAGGAGCAAATAGCTACTGTAGTTGTATATAACTCTTGGGTTTCCGACTCTCCACGTTTCAGTAGATGTGATGAGGCATTTCGAGAAAGCGTTTCAGGATGGAACTTCCATCTGCAAGCTCTAAAAATGGTGTGCTTTTTGGTAATTGTCAAAATGTCGGCCCGGTTCCAGCCTCAAAATCTAGGCTTCCACAAGTGCTTGGGTCCAGGCAATGGCCAAGTTCCGGTTCTCAGTGTAACTTTCTCTGTAGGACCTCGGAAGTGGTGACACGAACAGCCCTTAGTCTTGGTCTACAAATGCTTTTCTTCAAAGGCATTAGGTGCAGTGTGTTGTTCATTTTATGGAGTGGAACTCTTCCATTAACCGTCAAAATCCTTTCAAAACTGCCACTTAACCCATGAAAGGCAGAAGCTCTCTGACTTAGGTGCTTAGGGCCTTCAGTGCCACTTTGATTTGTCTGCTGCTGCGATATGAAGCCTGCTTTTCACGGATTCTCAAGATGCAACTTCTGGTTGGTAGACCGGGTCGTTCAGCCCTTCCTCTCAAACCTTGGCACACCCCATGCGCCGGCACTGGAGGCACCGGGCACGATGTATGGATGCTTCAGAGATGAGAGCACCCTCACTTCGTTAATTGCATCCTGGCAGATCTGGCGGCTTCCGATCTGGCAGATCTGGGTCTGTTGCGACCTGTTTGATATCCACAAGGCTTTGTGGCCCTTCACTGGTGGATGTGTTTGCAGTTTCGTTGCCGACAGCAATCCGCAACTTGTGTGGTTCCGTGATGGGGAACCAGTTCACCCGGTCGTGTTGCCGACAGAACTGGTCGTGTAGTGCAACATGGACATGTTTGGGCACGAGCGACAAAAGCACTTTTGAGAGAGGTGCCCAATGGCCGGCCCCGCGAAGGAGCTGAGCGACAAACAAATCGAAGAGCGAATCCCGGTCCTTTCTTTGCTTGGTGTCCATTCGACTCATGTCAATGATCTTCATGACGTAGAGCTTGTTCTCTTTGTCCTGCGCACATCGTGAGGTGTATTTCAATGTATGTCATGCAGTTTCGAAAAGGAAACACGTATCTCAACAATCAGACTCCACATGACAGGGTCTTTCCAAGGGCCAGTTGTTGACTGGGAAAGCCATACCACCAAGCCAACTACGTATATAGTATATATAGGCAGTAATTACATTCATGTATATTCACCCAATAGATTCCCGGCACATCAGCTGTTGGACATGATTCACATCCATTCACCCGTCCCGACTTTCCCAAACGTTCTATTGCATAGCCTTTGAGAGTGATCTGCACAATCAGGCACCGTTGCCCCGGCATTTGGTTCGGTCGAGAATCGGTCAAAAAGGATTGCTCGAGCAAAGAACGCTTACAATCAAAAGGACCCAACGCAAAGAGCACTTCGAAAAAATGAATGGAGATGCGGGGTGGACAGGTCAGTTTGTGTCACTTTGGACAGTGAGTTCCAACATCGGGACCCCAATCCTGAAGCCAATCCTCCCTGAAGCGGGAGGATCTGCAAGGACTACATTGCTACGTAGCGGGTGGGTCTTCTCAGTTCAATTCGTTTTATAAGCTGCAATTTTTGCAAACAAAAATGTCTGCTCTCGCGATTCAAGCTGCTGTCCCTGAGCAACTCACAAGCAGAATCCCGAATTGGCCCACAACTACCTCCGCAAGGTCTGCCTGAGGCAACATGCTTCACCAGACTCCACGTTTTAGTTGGAGTTTTTTTGCGAGAAAAGCTTTCTGGAAAAAGAATGTCCTGCACTAGGACGGCTTTCCCATAGCTGCCTGGCGCTCTGATGTGAAAGCCCAAAAGCCAAAATGTCCGCACGAACTGAACAGTATGTAGGTGATCGTGCATTAAAGCGTATCTGAGACACAACAAGGAAAAGACATGTCCAAAGTCACAAGGTCCATAAACGAAAGTCAAAAGGAAGAAGACATGTTTAAAGATCTAAGAAAACAAATAGCAAGCATCGAAAAATCTCCTCACCAAAAGGGAACCCAACCTATTCAAAGGCCCAAAGGCTATCCGTCAAGCACAAATGAGGCTGAACAACAACAAACAGCTGGTGAAGTGGTTCGATTCTATGCTTTTACCTGTCATGACTTGGTCTGATCGATTCCGGTGAAGTGAAGTGGCTTGCCGCGGTGGTCTGGTGGCTTAGTCGCTTGGTCTTGAATTTGCGGAGGTTGACATGTTTACAGCTGCTGGTGAAGCAGTACATGTTTACAGCTACTGAGTCTGGTGAGGTGAGTCGGTGTTTTTTCTGCAGAAATGGTGTCTTTTGACGAATGGAGTTCTACAAACTTCTACAAACCAGTCAGAACGGTGAAGGTGGATGCTTCCCTTGTCAAGTGGTGGCGCCACAACTGGTGAACTGCTTCTCCCGGCAGTGTGGTGATGCGTCTGCAGCGCAATTTTGATGAGATGTCCTACCTCTGGGGTCCTCTGGGTATGTGGTAACAAGTGCCACGCTAGTAGTAACAGGTGCCTTACTAGTAGTAACAAAAAGCTAGTAGAAACAAGAAGCTACTAGGAACAAGTGCCTTACTAGTAGCAACAAAAAGCTAGTAGTAACAAGTGCATCGCTAGTAGTAACAGGTGCCTTACTAGTAGTAACAAAAAGCTAGTAGAAACAAGAAGCTACTAGGAACAAGTGCCTTACTAGTAGTAGCAAAAAGCTAGTAGTAATAAGTGCATCGCTGGTAGTAACAGGTGCCTTACTAGTAGTAACAAAAAGCTAGTAGAAACA